AGATTGTTTGTTTCTTTCTCTCTCCAACCGGATCTGGTTTCCCCCCCCCCCCCCCCCCCGCTTCTTTCTATCTTCTTTCTGATGGATTTACTTGGGCGAGTTTCCTGCAATCATTCTCATGTTTTCCCCAGTTAATTTGGGGTGGACAGACCAGTGGCCCAGCTGGCAGAGAAGGGTCCACAGCCCCTACCAGTGACCGTCCCCTGTTAATAAGTTTATAACCAGTCCAATTCCACTGCCCAGGGGATTTAGAAGGGCAGACAGGTTTATAATCCTGTTAACCCTTTGTGGGAGCTGACACCCAAACCAGGGCTGCAGTGTGAATCACCAAGCAAAGCAGTAGACCATTGCCCTCATGAGATGGCGAGGAGGAGGAGGGAGGAAGGCTTCCCTGCGTGCGGGATGCCTTTGCGCCTCAGTCCTGCTGGGGTGAAAATGAAGCAATCTCATTTGCGCCATCCCGCATGATAGTATTTAAATTATGTTAAGCCCCATCTCAAGTGGGTACTTCTGAGGTCTGGACTGGAGCAGATGCTGGGGGACACTTAATGTCTGCTGGACACGGGGCTGTGGCATAAACACCTTTCCCAAAAATCTCTGGCAGACCATGACCTCGCTTCCACCTGAAACAACCTCTCTTCCCAGTTACTGTGGGACAAGCTAATTAAAGAGGCCCTTTTGTTTTTTCCTCAAGCAAAGCCCTTTAGAGCAGCACGGGAAGAGCTACATGTCGATGGAGGGGTCTGTCCGTGGGAAAATGCTCGTAACCCCTCCCCAAGCCCCAGCAGTCTCTGAGACTGGCTCTGCCAGGCAGGCACCTGTGGGCTGAGCTTTTTCTCACTGGCTGAGGAGCACCTCCAGAACATGCTCCACCTCGGCTGGCTTGATACATATCTTTCAGGTGGGCTCATCTCCCTTCTGGAAGCCCCTGTCCCCACTGGAGTGTAGGTGATGGGCAGCAGAGACCTGGCTTTAGACAGCAAAGGTTCACTGGGATGAATCCCTTCTGCTGAAGAAAACTGCTGGCTGAGAAGGATATTGGAAAATAGCATGAAGTTTAGAGGAGGGTGATTAAAGGGTTTGAGGAAGTGAAAATTCTGGCCAGCAGTGAGAGACGGCATCTCCACCTGCCCGTGATCGTGGTGGCCAGGTGGTGCTGGCTCGTGGGACATATGACCTGGGAGAAGGGGTCTTCTTCCTTGAAGAGCGAGGAGATGCATCCAGCCCAGGATGGAGACATCTTCCCTCAAAAGATAGAGGGAGTAAGCATTGGAAAATTGCCTTGGCTTTAAAACCTCCTCACCTCTCCATCTTAAGACTAACAAGCAGGCTTTGATTCAGGCAGGAGTGAATGGTTACCCACCACTACAGGGAGTGGAGAAATGAAATGCTCCCTGGGAGCCACCTTCTGACCTCCGTGGCCAGAGAAGACCCGTACTTAGCTGCAGGGAGTGGAGCTTGGTCAGCAAGGGGGATTGTTAGGATGGGGTAGGGGTGCTACGGCCACTTTGCAAGGAAGGAACACTGCAGACATGAGGTGTATGACAATGACCAGCGCTGGTCGTGTGCCTCGGGGAGGAGGGGATTGGTGTGCAACCATGCAGGCGGTGGTGGGAAGCAGCAGCTACCCCTGGGCAGCCCCTCCGGTCCCCTGGCATCCCCCTCTTCATCCCAGAGGAAGGGGATGCAGTGCTTCCTATAGTAGCTGCCTCCTTTCTCTGCCAGTAATTTCAGCAGCATGGTTTTGTTCCCTCTTCTGTTCAGACTTGTCTGTGAACATCCTTGATCTTATGAGCTGATTTGAAGCAGCTCCATGGGTAATATTTACAAAAACGATGTGGGCTGTGCTGTGACTGGACAGCATGCAGCTGCTTCCCAGCTCCACAGTAGCTGATTTATTTTGTCTGATTAATTATCAACACTTTGTAGCTGATCCTGTAAGCAACACACTTGTATTTGCTGTTTTCTAATCAGATGCAAATCCATCTTCAGCCTACGCTAGTTTTGTTTTGTCATGAAACAAATATTGGGTCATTATTAAGCAAGTGCCTGATGCCACCTGGGTAGCCCTTTGCTCCCACTGTAGCTCCTGGTGTTGGTGGGACATGGGCAGAGACCATAAACGGTGCCCTCATGAGGGCTACACCCTCCCATCTCAAAACTTCTTACTGCTGCTTTCCGGAGGTGAAAGCCCTCAGACAGACCTCACCGCTGCTGCTGGACATCTTTACACCTCTAATTCCCACCCACACAAACCTGCTCAGACCCTGTTTCTCTGCTAATCTGTGCATAGAGGCTCCCTGCAGACTTGGTGATGCTGCTGTCATGACAACCCAACCGTCCCCAGGTCTGGCATCCTTGTGCTGCTACTTTGCTGAGCTCAGGATCCTACCTGGAGCCATGATTCAGTCCTGGCCTGGATGCCGTGGGAAGAAGGGAGGTGTGTGCTGCCTGGCGTGGTCCCAGTGTAGAGGGCAGGGATGTGGGGCCAAGTTACCCAGTGACGGCTGCCTTGAGTCAGGCATGGGCACAGCGGGAACCAAACCTTAAAGGAGGCAGAAGACAGATGAAGGAAGAAATGCAGAAGAGCCTTTTATCCATGGACAGGCTAAAGGCTGCTTGCCCAGAAGGTTCTTTGACCAACAAGTAAAGCAGAGGTGTATAATAACGTAGCAGTGAATTGCATCCGCTCATGATTTTCTGTTGGACAGAAAAGAAACTCTCATCAATTTTGTTGCATCCCTACCCATACCATTACTTCATACCTCTGATCCCAGTGGTGGTTTCTAAAGCAAGAAGGCTGATATCTCCTGCCCTGGGCACTGAAGGGGAGGGAGCCTCAAGGCGGCCCTCTCTTCAGGCAGCACATGGCTTGGCTGGAGGCAGGGAGGATTGCGTAATTGTACTTAGGAGAAAATCCAAATTTAAAATGTGCTGCCAGGAAAACTCGGGGGGAGGGGCGTGGGGTCAGAAGCAGAAGAGAGCATCCTTCACATGAAGCCTGCAGACCTTCATGATGTGTTTGCAAACTAATACCCTGAAAGCCCAGGAGCTGGTCACTTCAAAGCCTCAAAGTCCAGAGGTGCTATGTGTCCTGGGGCAAACAGGCATGCTCTGGCA